CATCTCCAATCTACAGACGGTCATTTAATACCATTTAGTAGGCGGAAAAAAATGGACCAAAACAGGAAAGGACAAATGTTCGAAAATGTTTGTGCAAGCTCTTTGGGACGTTGATCTTGCCAACATCTATGGTGGTTGATGGCTGTTTTTTTTTTTTTCTCACAGGATCACATGCTGCTTAAGGAAGGGGCCACCGTCTCCGATCAGGAAACACAAAAAAACGCAAGCCAATTTCCTCTCGTTCCCGGCCTTTGCAAATTATGCTTATCTTTGCATTAGCGGGCATAATAATAATAATAAATGTTCTGTAGCTTGCAATTATTTTTGCAGAGTGGGGTGTGGGGGGGGGGGGTCTTCTGACTCCAAGCACATCCTTCCTGAATTAGCTTTGTGTCTTCGTGATGAGACTCACTAAGGGTAGGAGATCCTTTTTGGGGTGAAATTTTTGCAAAATTGTTTCTGCTGGGCTAGGCCGATAGCGCCCTCAGCCCCTGCATTGAATTTTTTGAAGATGGGTTTATTTTTATCCCGTCTTTATTACTTCATAAGCAACTTAAGGTGGCAATCATATGTAATAGCCCTTCCCTTTTCTCCACCACAACCCTGTGAGGTAGGTTGGGCTTTTATCCCTAAGGAGGGACTAGAACTCACCGTCTCCTAGTGATTGGCCCAAAGTCACCCAGTCAGCTTTCGTACGTAAGGCAGAACTAGAACTCACCATCGCCTGGTGATTGGCCCAATGTCACCCAGCCAGCTTTCATGCCTAAGGCAGGACTAGAACTCACCGTCTCCCAGTGATTGGCCCAAAGTCACCCAGCCAGTTTTTATGCCTAAGGCAGGACTAGAACTCATCGTCTCCTGGTGATTGGCCATCCAGTCAGCTTTCGTACCTAAGGCGGGACTAGAACTCACCGTCTCCTGGTGATTGGCCCAGAGTCACTCAGCTGGCTTTCATATCTAAGGCAAGACTAGAACTCACCGTCTCCTAGTGTTTGGCCCGAAGTCACCCAGTCAGCTTTCATACGTAAGGCAGAACTAGAACTCAGCATCGCCTGGTGATTGGCCCAATGTCACCCAGCCAGCTTTCATGCCTAAGGCAGGACTAGAACTCATCGTATCCCGGTGATTGGCCCAAAGTCACCCAGTCAGCTTTTACGTTTTAAGGCAGGACTAGAACTCACCGTCTCCTGGTGATTGGCCCAGTTAGCCAGTCAGCTTTCATGCCTGAGGCTGGACTAGAACTCGCCATCTCCTGGTGAGTGGCCCACAGCCGCCCAGTCAGCTTTCGAGCATAAGGCGGAACTAGAATTCACCATCTCCAGGTTTCTACCCTAGTGTCTTAACCATTAGACCAAACTGATGATAATCAAACATTTAACTGATGATAGTCGAACATGAAGCTGTAAAATCTGTTTCTTAGGTTCTCATCTTGGAAAGCCAAATAAATCACTGAGCACAGAAAAAAAAATAATCAGAATTTCCCAGATCAAGAACCACAAATTGTGGACCTTTGGGCCTGAAACTCTGCACGCTAGTGAGGCGTATTAAAAATGCCTAGGAAGAAGTATTTGATGTTAACATTAATTATTGCTTCAATTGCAATGAAGGAGGACATTTTTTTTCCCCCTGTAGAAAAAATAAGTTTTGATTTCAAGTGAGGTCAGCAAGGTTATGCAGTAAACAGATGATGATCCCAAGCCGGCACGACGCCCAATGAAAATAATCATGCAATATTCCATGGAAAAGCGAGCAAGCAACTTCCATATAATGAAATGAAAATGACGGTGGCCAAATGCATAACAGTTCTCCGTTCCTACTTCCTAGAAATCACATTATTAATGTGCCCGGGAAAAAAAAAGACAGCACAGCCTATTTCTCATTCTGCAGACTTCTCCAGAAAAAGACTTCACGGAAGGAAATGAAATATTAAGAGAGAGAAACGTGGGACTTCCAAACAGAAGATCCTCAACTTACGGCCACGGTTGAAACCCAAAAATTTCCATCGCTAGGCAAGGGCGGTGGTTGAAGTGATTTTAAAAGCCTGATTTTACGACCGGGTTGGCCAGGGTTGTTAAGCTAACGGCTGCCGTTGTTAAGCGAAGCACGTGGTCGTTAAGCAAATCCATCTTCTCCCACTGAAGGTCGCAAAAGGGGGGAATCACGTGACCCTTGGCCAGTTGCCAAGCGCCTGAATTTTTGGATCGTGTGGCCGCGAGGAATGCTGTGACGGTCGTAAGGGTGAGGACCGACCCTAAATCACTGTTTTCAGTGTCGTTTTGAAAAGTCGCTAAGCAAAGGGCCGTAAGCGAGGACTGCTTGGATGAGTCCTCCGCCGGTCTCGTTTTGCGTTAATAATGTTAGTCGTCGTTTGGTCCACCTGACGTTTAAGCAAGGAAATCGAGTCCTTGCAATGTCTGAAAGCGAGTCCTGGCTGCGAAAGTTGATCCCAACTCCTGATAGGTCCGTATTGATTTCAGGACCTCTTAAATTTCCTTTCTTTTGTATTTCCTAGGCCGGGTTTTTGCAACCTTGTGGGCCACCTTAAGAGGTGCGAACTTCCAACTCCCAGAATTCCCTAGCTAGCATTTGTTAGCTGGGGGATTCTGGGACTTCTGGGATGTCCACATCTCTTAAAGTTGCCAAGGTTGAAGAATATCCAAATATCTCGTGCCAAATCCCAGCGTTTCACTTGGACTCCGAAGAGGCAAGGGAGTTTTTGCAGGCCCTTTTATCTGAAGAGGTTTAGAAGGACGGACCAATGAGAAAATTCACATTTTATCTAGTCCATGGGCTGGATCCATCACACGTTTAGCCCAGCTGTTTTTCAATATTTGGTAGGAGGCTGTTTTGTTTCCATATTTTACTTCTGCCTTTCTTAAATGTCCTCCTTCTCCTCCTCTTCCTCCTTCTCCACCCCTTCCTCCTCCACTCCGCAAACCCCATTCCCTTCAAGCACTGATGATGTTACCTAGTTGGGTAATGAAACGTCTGCAAGAAAAGCACCAAGCTCAGAGAGCAACAAGGACCCTTCTTCCTCCTCCTCCTCTCCACAAACCTCACTCCCTTCAAACACTGATGATGTTACCTAGTTTGGTTATGAAATGCCTGCAGGAAAACAACCAAGCTCAGAGAGTACCAAGGAGCCCACAGCCCTATCCTGTCCTCCTCTTCCTCCTCCTTTTCCTCTTCCTCCTCTCTGCAAACCTCACTCCCTTCAAACACTGATGATGTTCCCTAGTTGGGTAAAGAAATGTCTGCAGGAAAACAACCAAGCTCAGAGAGTACCAAGGAGCCCACAGCCCTATCCTGTCCTCCTCTTCCTCCTCCTTTTCCTCTTCCTCCTCTCTGCAAACCTCACTCCCTTCAAACACTGATGATGTTACCTAGTTTGGTTATGAAATGCCTGCAGGAAAACAACCAAGCTCAGAGAGTACCAAGGAGCCCACAGCCCTATCCTGTCCTCCTCTTCCTCCTCCTTTTCCTCTTCCTCCTCTCTGCAAACCCCACTCCCTTCTAACACTGATGATGTTCCCTAGTTGGGTAGTGAAATGCCTGCAGGAAAACAACCAAGCTCAGAGAGCAAAAAGGACCCCACGGTCCTCCTCCTTCTCCATCACCAATCATCATCCTCTTCCTCTTCCTCCTCCTCTTCCTTTTCCTCTTCCTCCTCTCTGCAAACCCCACTCCCTGGTAACACTGATGATATTCCCTAGTTGGGTAAAGAAATGTCTGCAGGAAAACAACCAAGCTCAGAGAGTACCAAGGAGCCCACAGCCCTATCCTGTCCTCCTCTTCCTCCTCCTTTTCCTCTTCCTCCTCTCTGCAAACCCCACTCCCTTCTAACACTGATGATGTTCCCTAGTTGGGTAAAGAAATGTCTGCAGGAAAACAACCAAGCTCAGAGAGTACCAAGGACCCCTTAATACTCCTCCTCCCTTCAAACATTGATGATATTCCCTAGTTGGGTAAAGAAATGTCTGCAGGAAAACAACCAAGCTCAGAGAGCAAAAAGGACCCCACAGTCCTCCTCCTTCTCCATCATCAATCGTCTTCCTCTTCCTCCTCCTCTTCCTCCTTCTCCACCCCTTCCTCCTCTCTGCAAACCCCACTCCCTTCTAACACTGATGATGTTCCCTAGTTGGGTAATGAAATGTCTGCAGGAAAACAACCAAGCTCAGAGAGTACAAAGGACCCCTTAATACTCCTCCTCCCTTCAAACATTGATGATATTCCCTAGTTGGGTAATGAAATGCCTGCAGGAAAACAACCAAGTTCAGAGAGCAAAAAGGACCCCACAGTCCTCCTCCTTCTCCATCATCAATCGTCTTCCTCTTCCTCCTCCTCTTCCTCCTTCTCCACCCCTTCCTCCTCTCTGCAAACCCCACTCCCTTCTAACACTGATGATGTTCCCTAGTTGGGTAGTGAAATGTCTGCAGGGAAGCAACCAAGCTCAGAGAGCAAAAAGGACCCCACGGTCCTCCTCCTTCTCCTTCTCCTTCTCCATCACCAATCATCGTCCTCTTCCTCTTCCTCCTCCCTGCAAATCCCACTCCCTTCTAACACTGGTGATGTTCCCTAGTTGGGTCATGAAACATCTGCAAGAAAAACACCAAGCTCAGAAAGTAACAAGGACCTCAACAGTCTTCCTTCTCCTTCTCCATCACCAGTCCTCTTCCTCTTCCTCCTCTTCTCCCCACCCCCTACGAAAACCTCTGGCATCTTCGGGGTCTCAAGTGAAATGCTGAGATGTTTGGCGAGGACATTTGCGCAGGAAAGCAATCGAGCTCGTAGAGCAGCAAGCAAGAAATAAATAAATGGATTTTCTTTTTTTTTTCTTCCCCCAATTAATGCCGCGGAGCTTTGTTGGCAGTGGGAAGGAGAGCGCTGCAACCTGCGATGCATTTGTGGGTCCACTCGGGGCACGCATGGAAGCCAGTCGCGTCATGCATGACAAAGGAACCACGGAAGCACGGGTTAACGGATGAGATGGCGCCATATACCTCCACTAAGGTCACTCTGAGGGCACTGACAAGTGAGGGCTCAATATCCACCAGCTGAACGGCACTAAAACTCTGAATGTCAAAAGTGGCACAAGGACAACACGCACACACATACACACAGAGACACAAACACACACACACAACACGGTTAGAACTGCAAGGCAAACAACAGGTCAATACGGTTAGTCAAAGCATATGCAACCCCGTGGACTTTTCATAGAGACTCTCAGCCTTGGCGTAAACCGTTTGCAGGAGAGGTCAGAGCAGAGGTCTTCAAACTTGGCTGCTTTAAGACTTGTGGACTTCAACTCCCAGAATTCTCCAGCCAGCGTAGCTTTAAGCCTTGTGGACTTCAACTCCCAGAATTCTCCAGCCAGCAGAGCTTTAAGCCTTGTGGACTTCAACTCCCAGAATTCTCCAGCCAGCGTAGCTTTAAGCCTTGTGGACTTCAACTCCCAGAATTCTCCAGCCAGCGTAGCTTTAAGACTTGTGGACTTCAACTCCCAGAATTCTCCAGCCAGCAGAGCTTTAAGACTTGTGGACTTCAACTCCCAGAATTCTCCAGCCAGCGTAGCTTTAAGCCTTGTGGACTTCAACTCCCAGAATTCTCCAGCCAGCGTAGCTTTAAGACTTGTGGACTTCAACTCCCAGAATTCTCCAGCCAGCAGAGCTTTAAGACTTGTGGACTTCAACTCCCAGAATTCTCCAGCCAGCAGAGCTTTAAGACTTGTGGACTTCAACTCCCAGAATTCTCCAGCCTGCATAGCTTTAAGCCTTGTGGACTTCAGCTCCCAGAATTCTCCAGCCAGCATAGCTTGAAGCCTTGTGGACTTCAGCTCCCAGAATTCTCCAGCCAGCATAGCTTGAAGCCTTGTGGACTTCAACCCCCAGAATTCTCCAGCCAGCATAGCTTGAAGCCTTGTGGACTTCAGCTCCCAGAATTCTCCAGCTGGCTGGAGCTCCCAGAGAATTCTGGGAGTTGAAGTCCACAAGTCTTAAAGTGGCCAAGTTTGAAGACCTCTGCTCTACAATTTCAATGTTACACTACCTTTTGTGGAGTGGATAAAGTTAAATTACTCTTTTTTTAAAAAAAAGCGCCTTCCACTCAACTCCCATCTCCAATCTACAGACGGTTTTTAAATACCATTTAGTAGGCAGAATATTTCTGAATAGGCTGTAGCACAGGGCTTGGAGACCCCCGAGTTAAACCCCTGGGCCTTCTCTTCCGGAAGGGAAAGTCCAAACTATACTACAGGTATAATCCTCGACTTACATCCTTGAGCTCAAAGTTTCCCACTGCTGAGCGAGACGGTTGTTAAGTGAGTTTTGCACCCATCGTTACGATTAAGATGGAGGTTATTTCTTGCCACAGTTGTTAAGCGAATCAGCATAGTTATTAATACAGTCTGCTAAGTGAATTTGGCTTCCCCAACTTGTAGGAAGGTCGTAGAAGGGGATCGATCACCTGACCCTGGGACAGAGCAATGGTCGTAAGTATGAGTCGGTTGCCAAGGGTCCAAATTTTGATCACATGACAATGGTCGTAAGTGTGTGTGTGTGGGGGAAAGGGTCATAAGTCACTTTTTTTCAGCGCTGTCGTAACTTTGAATGGGCGCCCAGCGGGTGGTTGTAAGCGGAGGACTACAGGTAGTCCTCGACTTACGTCCACAATTGAGCCCAACATTTCTGTTGCTAAGTGAGACAGTTGTTAACCGAGCTTTGTCCCATTTTACAACCTTTACTGCCACACTTGTTAAATGAATCACTGCAGTGGTTAACTTAGTGACCACTGTTGTTAAGTGAATCCGGCTTCCCCGTTGACTTGGCTTGTCGGAAGGTCGTAAAAGTGGATCACGTGGCCCCCGGATTCGGCAACCGTCATAAATACGAACCAGTTGCCAAGTCTCCAAATTTTGATCAGGTGACCGTGGGGAATGCTGCGACGGTCGTTAAGTGTGAAACACAGTCCTAAGTCACTTTTTTCAGTGCCGTGGTAACTTTGAATGGCCACTAAATGAGCTGTTGTAAGTCGAGGACTATCTGTATCTGAATTTCAAGGGCATATTTGGAGTTTGTAGGGAGGCCACCCGTGTTTCATCTGACTTTCCTCAAACGCAGCACTGAATCAAGGCCCACCCGTTCCCCCGTTTTCTCTTTGGGCTAAGGACAGTTTTGCAAAAGCTTTAAAACTTATTTTATTTATTTATTTATTCATTTATTTATTGAATTTATTTGCCACCCATCTCGTCACAAAATGACTCTGGGCGGCTTCCAGCATCATTTTTTCCTTTAAATCAGTGCTTTCTATCTCTTAGAAATAAAACTAAATGAGAAAAATAAAACAAAACCCAGAAAAATGACTAATTTCTTTCTTTTTTTTTTTTTAGCCATCTGGGGACACCCATCCAGCCGGAGATGCATGAGCTTGCAAATATTTCGAGACGTAAATCTTTTAAATATAAATTGGAGTTAATTCTTTGAAACAAAGCAGATAATCACTTTTTTTTTTACAGCTAATTAGTTTTTAGCCCATCTTTGGTTGTAAATCGTGCTCAACATAAACAATTGCTGAAGTTCTGCAGAGATTCTCGAAGGAGCAACAGGCTGGAAATTTAACACACATGCACACGTTCCTTTAAACTAATCAGAGGAATGATTTCTCTGATCATCCTCTGAATAATCGGATTAATTTGACGGGCTAAGGAAAAGATCTCAACCCCGTACCATCCGGTCGCCTTAGTTCTAGCTTTTTCTCAGCTTTTTAAAATGTGAATTATTTTTGTGTGTATCTTTTTAAGCTGCCCAGAATCGCTTTATAAGTCAGAGGGGCAGCATAGAAATTTAACAAGTGAATAAATAAAAGGGCTGCTTTGATAGGAAAGAATATTACCGGTTATAAAACTGAATTAAACAAAATCGGTTTCTTTCTTTTCCAATAGGGTGGCACAAGAAGGCTAACCAGCTAAAATAAAATCAGAGAAAAAGAGCTAAAATGATCCCCCTTTCAGATCAAAAGGCCCACTTAAAGAGGGGCCTGTTAATTTAGATTTCTGCAAATGGGTGGAGGGGTTAAAGGAGAAGTGTAGTAACGCACCCCATTTCTTTGGGGAGTATTTCTCAACTTTCGCAACTTTAAGAGGGGTGGGACTTCAACTCCCAGAATTCCTGAGCCAGGATGAGGAACTATGGCCCTTTCATGACTCGTGGACTTCAATTCCCAGAATCCCTCAGCCAGGATGGGGAATTATGGCCCTTTCATGACTTGTGGACTTCAACTCCCAGAATCCCTCAGCCAGGATGGGGAACTATGGCCCTTTCATGACTCGTGGACTTCAACGCCCAGAATCCCTCAGCCAGGATGGGGAACTATGGCCCTTTCATGACTCGTGGACTTCAACTCCCAGAATCCATCAGCCAGGATGGAGAATTATGGCCCTTTCATGACTCGTGGACTTCAACGCCCAGAATCTCTCAGCCAGGATGGGGAATTATGGCCCTTTCATGACTCGTGGACTTCCAACTCCCAGAATCCCTCAGCCAGGATGGAGAATTATGGCCCTTTCATGACTCGTGGACTTCAACGCCCAGAATCCCTCAGCCAGGATGGGGAATTATAGCCCTTTCATGACTCCTGGACTTCAACTCCCAGAATCCCTCAGCCAGCAAGGGGGATTAAATTAGAGGAAGTGAAAAGCAGCAGGTGAGTTTCTGGTTTTGTAAATTTTTTTTCCCTCCCGGGGAATTCATGCAAAAAGTCTGCCTCCCTTCATTGTGTGTGTGGGGGTTTTTTGGGGGTCTTGTTCTCCTTGCAGCATGGAAGGAGCCCTCGAAAAGCGTGTACACAAACACACACGCACACACAAAAGGAAGCCAAGGCAGTGTGGTTAAAAGGGTGCTTACGGTGTCGCTGTCGCACGGCTGAAACTGGAAGGACTGCGGCTTGTGAAAGACCGAGTTTTCTTGCAAGAAGAGCTGAAAATTGTAATCTCGCACTACCTGAAAACAGAAAAAGTACCTGTGTTTACAGCTGGGTCAGAAATCGTAAAGGACCAATACAGGTAAGCCTTCGACTTACAACGGTTCGTTTAGTGACTGTTCCAAGTTACGACGGCACTGAAAAATGTGACTGATGGCCGTTTTTCACACTTACGACTGTTGCAGCACATGGCTGTGATCAAAATTCAGGCGCTTGGCAACTGACTCGTATTTATGACGGTTGCAGGGTCCCGGGGGGGGGGTGTCACATGATCCCCTTTTGCGACCTTCCGACAAGCAAAATTGATGGGGAAACCAGATTCGCTTAACAACCGTCTTACAAACTTAAATAACTGCCGTGATTCCGTTAACAACTGCAGCAGGAGGGGTCGTAAAATGGGGCAAAATTCACTTGTCTCGCTTAGCAATGGAAATTTTGGACTCCATTGTGGTTGTAAGTCAGAATGGTGCGGTGGCATAGAGGTGGAGCTCTGGCCTCACAATCAGGAGGCTGTGAGTTTGATCCTAGGTAGAGGCAGATATTTCCTTCTCTGGGCACGATGAGATTTTATCTGCTGAATATAATTCCTCATTGGCGACAGGAAAGGCATCCGGCCAGTAAACACTCTGCTAGCTCCATTCAGCTGCCCAGACTCCACCCGCAAGGGATTATGGGGTCATTAAAAGGAGATGATTGTGGTCGTAAGTCGAGGGACATCCTGTACAGGGAGTCCTTGACTTGCGAACACCATTGGGACTGCAGCTCCCGTTGCTAAGCAGGGTGGTTGTTAAGCGAGACATTTCCAATTTTATGATCATTTTCGCAGACGTCGTTAAGAGAGTCACACAGTCGTTAAAACAAACCTGCCTTCCCCACTGACTTTGCAGATCAGAAATGGAGATCACGTGATTCCCCAGGATGCTGCCCCCATCATAAATACACGCCAAGTGCCTGGATTTTGATCATGTGACTGCGGGAACGATGCAACGGTCGTAAACGCGAGGATCGATTGCACGCCACCTTTTTTTTTTCCAGCCCTGCTGCGAATTCGGATGGTTACTAAACGAACGGTCGTAAATGGAGGACTTACCCGCTGTGCTGAAATGATTAAAACAACACATTTCTACAATTGCGCTGCATGTAACAATGGACAGATTCGTCGTTCTTAAAATAAAAAGGCGATCCAGAAAAAAATTCCTATTTATTTATTTATTTTTTATTCTAAAAAATTCCTAGCCAGCCAACTGCTCAATTGCAGGAAATAATTATGGCACCTTTTTTTAAAAAATACGTGTGCGTGGGTTTTTTTTAATGCCGGTATCGGGGTTTTAATCCCTCTAAAAACAGATTATAGACTAGGGATGGCTAACCTTTTTGCCGTCGTGTGCCAAAAGCAGGGGGAGCCCAGGGGCGGGGGGGGGGGTTCGCGCATGTACCCACACCCATAATTCAATGCGCCCGCCCCCCACGCATATGCGCACGACCCCACGCGCTCCCCCCGCTTTTGGCACGCGATGGCACAGTGGGTAGGCCCATTTTTCACCCTTCCCAGGCTCTAGAGCAGTGTTTCTCAACCTTGGAAGCTTGAAGATGGGTGGACTTCAACTCCCAGAATCCCCCAGCCAGCGCTGCTGGCTGGGGGATTCTGGGAGTTGAAGTCCACCCATCTTCAAGCTTCCAAGGTTGAGAAACACTGCCCTAGAGGCTTTCTTGGAGCCTGGGGAGGGTGAAAAACAGGCTGCCCCACCCGCCTTGAGGCCCTCCGGAGGCCGGAAACAGCCTGTTTCCCGACTTCTGGTGGGCCCGGAAGGCCCGAAAATCAGCTGGCCGGCGCGTGCATGCGTGCCCATCGACATGGCTCCGCGTGCCACCTGTGGCAGGCATGTCATAAATTCACCATCACGGCTACAGATTCTCCTTATGGAACTCATCTTTATAATTGTCACAACTGTCATGAAAAAGAACATTCCGCCTCAGGTTAAAATGAAATAACAGGAAAATAAAAGCCGCACAGAAATTAAGGCAGGTTTTTCCCACACAATGGGTTATCCAAACATCTGAAAAGAGGCAGGAAGGGGGGGATTAACCCTCAAAATTGTCCACCTCAATAGCAAATCATTTTAAGGTGAAGAAAATGGATTGTTTTTTAACATTTAGGGAATCCAGTAGCGGGTTATAATCTACTCCCGTGATGGCCAACCGATAGCACGTGTGTCACAAGTGGCACGTGTGACATATTGGTGGGCACATGGGCTCAGCTCTGGCACACATGCATGCGTTGGCCAGCTGATTTTTGGGCCTTCTGGGCCACCTGGAAGTCGGCAAACAGGCCGTTTCCGGGCCGCAGAGTGCCTCGGCCGTTTTCGCCCTCCCCAGGCTCCTAGAAAGGCTCTGGAGCCTGGGGAGGGTGAAAAACGGGCCTACTGGGCCCACCGTGCCATCGCGTGCCGAAAGCGAGAGAAGCGCACATATGAGCATGGAATTATGGGTGTGGGGACCCCCCACGCAACCCCCATTTTTGACATGTGATGGCAAAAAGGTTAGCCATCACTGATCTACTCACTCTTCTGCCAAAGAGCTTCCTTTTTCCAAATTAATTTGAATTTCCAAAAAATTGTGTCTAATCCAATTCTATCCTTTTTTTTTAAATAACGAACCGACGGAAAGTACTTCACAGATAACACTCCAAGCGCAATAACATCCAATTCCAAACACGAAAAGCAATAGAACAAGTAATACATATTGGTGGGATAATAAAAACATTAAAACGATCTTTATAGCTTAAGATGCTGTATATTTGGTTTTCATTCTACACACGAGCGACTGGATTGGAATGGATGGAACGCGCACCCATCCTTGTCAATTTTGGTCTGTCACTCTGTGGAACAGCAATATGGGTAGCCCTCAATTTATGACCACAATTCAGCCCAACATTTCTGTCGCTAAGCGAGACAGTTGTTAACGGAGCTTTGTCCCGTTTTACGACCTTTCTTGCCACCGTTGTTAAGTGAATCAGTGCAATTGATAAATGAGTAACCCGGTTGTTAAGTGAATCTGGCTTCCCCGTTGACTTTGCTTGGTGGAAGATCGCAAAAGGGGATCATGTGACCCCGGGACGCTGCAACCGTCATAAATATGAACCCAGTTGCCAAGTGATTGAATTTTGTTTACGGTGATTGTGGGGATGTTGCAACAGTCGTAAGTGTGAAAAACTAAATGTAACAAATATGATCAAAAATGCTTTATTTGTATTAAATTGTATGACATGCAGAATATGGCGATTCACATAAAAATAACGTATTGAAATATTGAATAATGAAGGATTATAAATTGAACAAGCAAATAATGGAAGACTTCAATTTAGCATAAATGTTTGCACTATTATTAGAATTATATAAGCTTGTTAAAAGTAATAAATGCGGTTAATAATATTCTATTTGTATTAAAAGGTATGACACAGAATAGGGTGGTTGGCACTGAAATGACATTGAAAAAGGAATGATTAAATAACGAAAGATTATAATCTAATAAAAATATGTGTATTATTACAAGGTTTTATATAATCTTGTTAAATGAAACAAATATGATTAATATTACTTTATTTGTATTAAAATGAATGACACTCAGGTGCCATGCTGTTCACACATCGATGTGCTTTGTAAAAAATAAAAAACTTAAAAAAAAATAATAAGCGTGAAAATGAATCATAAGTCGTAAATTCAAACGGTCGCTAAACGAATTGTCGTTATGTCGAGGACTAACTGTAGAGCAAGCAAGTCATATCAATATTTTACAGGAACATTTGGGAGATTTAACTGTTATCCCGAACATGGAATGAGTTCAAATTTTACCTGGTGGGTCCCAATTACTGACATGCTAGCTACGTTCTGGAGCATAAAAAGAAGCAACAAGAAAGAATGTGAAAAACAGTTTTCCACAGTCACAAAAACAAATGCCAGAGAGAATGGTTATAAGTCGCCGCTACAGGCAGTCCTCAAATTACGACCACAACTGACCCCGAAATTTCCACTGCTAAGCAAGGCAGAGTGAGTTCTGCCCCATTTAATGACCTTTTTTTTTGCCGTCGTTGTTGAGCAAATTAGTCTGGTCGTTAAGTGAATCAGGCGGCCATTAAGCGAATCAGGCGGGTTGTTAAGCGAATCAGGCTTTCCCCCCACTGACTTTGCTTTGTCTGAAGCCGGCTGGGAAGGTCGCCAATGGCGATTCACAGGACCCCTGGGATACTGCAACCGTCATAAGTACATGCCAGTTGCCACGTGCCAATTTTGATCACGTGACCGTGGGGGAAAATGCTTCGATGGTCGTAAGTGTGAGGACTGGTTGTGAATGGCCTTTTTCAGTGCCTTTGTAACTTCAAAGGGTCGCTGAACCCTGATCACGTGACCAGGGGGCTGGGGTGCTGCGGAGGTCACTAGCCCCTTATTTCAGCACCGTCGTAACTTTGAACGGTCACTCAATGAATGGCCGTACATTGAGGACTCCCCGAACAGCTCCCTTCCCAACTGTTGTGGGAGCTTCATCCCTGGAGGCTTTCAAGAAGAGACTGGACGGCCATCTGTCAGAAATGGTATAGGTGGGTCTCCTTGATGGAGGGGTTGACTAGATGACCTCTAAGGTCCCTTCCAACTCTGTTAATCTGTTAATGCACCACATCCAGGTGTTTATGCCAACACCGAACCAGTGGCGTTTGTCTGCTTCCCTGAATTTCACGCCTGCTTTTTCCCATTTCTGAACGGCCCTTCAAGATCAGACCAATAAGTAAATAAATAAATAAATAAAAATTAGGATTTTTGGATTTGCAAAACTTACTTACCCGGCTTGACGTTTCCAAAAGAAATTGGAATGTGCTTTGTACAGATTGGCATATTTCTAATTCAGTCCTGCTGAATACCATTAAATAATCCTTAAGGTGGTCATATACATTGCCGTCAAGAGCCTGCGTGCAAAAAGAAAAAAGGGAACAAAAAGCAGAAATTTATTCGTAAACAAGGAAAGCCATCAAGATGAGTCAACCGACGGTGATTACGATTACCGATAGTCCTCGACTTACGACCACAATGGAGCCTAAAATGCCTGTCGCCAAGAGTTAGTTGTGAAGTGAATTTTGCCCCATTTTTACGACCTCTCTTGCCACCGTTGTTAAGTCAATCACTGCCGTCGTTAAGTCAGTAACACGGTTGTTAAGTGAATCGGGCTTCCCCATGGACTTTTGCTTGCAAAGGGGATCACATGACCCTGGGACACTGCGAGCGTCATAAATATGATAAAAATCTGTGATTTTTAACTTTCGGGCCAAAATTTAGATATATTTTTAAATGTTTTAATATTTGTATTCTATGTTTTTTTATTTTGGCTGTACACCGCCCTGAGTCCTCAGGGAGAAGGGCGGTATATAAATTGGAAATTAAATTAAATTAAATTAAATTAAATATGAGCCAGTTGCCAAGCATCTGGAAGTTTGATCACGTGACCAGGGAGGACGCTGCCACGGTCATAAGGGTGAAAAAATGGCCACGAATCCCCCTTTTTCAGTGCCGTTGTAACTTTGAACGGTCACTAAATGAACCGTTGCAGGTGAAGGACTACCTGTATTTAGAGTGACTCATAAATCCACTCCGCCGAACCAAAATGCTTAGCACATTTCAAAGGGGGAAAAAAAAATTCAAAATGCTTTTTCCAAGAGGCAACTGGACTTCCTTGTTTTTTTTTCTTTTGAAGACGTTTCGCTTCTCATCCAAGGAGCTTCATCAGCTCTGACTGGATGGTGTGGAATGGAAGGATTGATGCTCCTTGCAGACAGCTGGTCATTTGCATCCTTTTTAGAGGGTCGTTGAGGCCACTTGAAGGTTTACCTGTGTCCTCAGGGTCACCTGAGTGGTTGCAAAGACCCTTGGAATTGGGTGGGAGTAGGAATGGATTTCCAGAGAGAAAAAAATTGCAGACTACAGGAACCATTTGCACCACTCAGGTGATCCTGAGGACACAGATAAAACCTCCCAAGCGGCCTCAACGACCCTCTAAAAGGATGCAAATGACCAGCTGCCTGCAAGGAGCATCAATTCTTCCCTTCCTCACCATCCAGTCAGAGCTGATGAAGCTTCTTGGAGGAGAAGCGAAACGTCTTCAAAAGAAAAAAATCAAAAAATCCAGGTGCCTCTTGAAAAAAAAAAAAGCACCTTTGACCTGGATGACGGAGGACCTCCATAGACATTCAAAATGCTTTGGCATCTGGAAAAAGTGTACCTTGTAATACGTAAGCTGGAGGTGTCAAGCTTGAACATGAAAATGAGAAGTTTTAATTACAAAAGGTGCATTCCGAATAGTGAAAAATAAATAAATAAAAGGGACTGGTTTTTCAAGAAGCCTGCAATTTCTAAGAGGCTCGATCTCGCTTTATAGGTAGGTGATCTCCTTAAGGGCAGCAGGGATATTTAGCAATACTTAATTTTGGACAATGGAGGTTGGCTAATTGTAGCCGTTATTTCTTGGGGCGCCGGGGTTTTGAACCTGTGGATCAAAGATTATATTTAGGAGCGGTGCAGTGGCCTAGAGGTGGAGCTCTGGCCTCACAATCAGGAGGCTGTGAGTTCGATCCTAGGTAGAGGCAGATATTTCTCTCTCTGGGCACAATGAGAATATATCTGCCGAACAAGACTCCGCTCTGGCGACAGGAAAGGCATCCGGCCATTAAAACACTCAGCTCCATTCAGTTGCCCAGACTCCACCTCGCAAGGGATTATGGCGTCGTTAAATGATAATGAGGATGATGAGGATCAAAGATTATATTTAACAGTGAAATACCAGGAACAGCTGAGATGCGGTGACTATATTTATTATAAGGGGAACAAATATTATGTCACACAATCTGCCAGAAATGTTGCTTTGCACGTGCTATGAAAACCCAACGATAGAAACTGCTCTGCTCTAATCCTGTCCATCAAAAGCAGCTATGGGTAGTCTTTGACTTATGACCGCAATCGAGCCCAAAATTTCTGTCGTTCAATGTGACATTTGTCAAGCTTAGTGTTGCCCGCTTTACGACTTTTCTTGCTTACGGGTTGTTAAGTGAATCACAGCAGTTAAGTTAGTCACACCGTTGTTAAATGAATCGCGCTTCCTCCTTGACTTTGCTTGTCAGAAGGACGCAAAAGGAGATCACATGACCCCGGGACACTGCAACCGTCGTAAATATGAGTCGGTCGCCAAGCGCCTGGGGGTTTGATCATGTGACCCTGGGGATGCTGCAACGGGGAAATTTTTTTTGCTGGAAATTGGTCCTTCCTTCCTTCTTTCTTTCTTTCCTTCCTTCCTTCCTTCAACCTCTCTCCCTCCCTCCCTTCTTTTTCCTCACTCTTCCTTCGTTCCTCCATCCTTTTCCCCTTCCTTCCCTCCCTCTTTTCCTTCCTTCCTCCTTCCCCTCCCTCTCTTCCTTCTTTTCTTCACTCTTCTTTCCTTCCACCTTCCTTCCTTCTTTCCCTTTTCCTTCTTTTTCCTCGCTCTTCCTTCCCTCCCTCTTTTCCTTCCTTCCCTTTCCTCACCCTCCTTCCCCTCCCTCTCTTTTCTCCCTCTTCTTTCTTTCCTTCCTTCCTTTTCCCCTTCCTTCCCTCCCTCTTTTCCTTCCTTCCTTCCTCCTTCCCCTCCCTCTCTTCCTTCTTTTCCTTGCTCTTCTTTCCTTCCTCCTCCCTTCCCTCCCTCTTTTCCTTCCTTCCTCCCCCCTCCCTCTTCCTTTTCTTCACTCTTCTTTCCTTCCTCCTTCCTTTCCCCCTTCCTTCCTTCCCTCCCTTTTCCTTCTTTTTCCTCGCTCTTCCTTCCCTCTCTTTTCCTTCCTTCCCTTTCCTCACCCTCCTTCCCCTCCCTCTCTTCCTTCTTTTCCCTCCCTCTTCTTTCCTTCCTTCCTTTTCCCCTTCCTTCCCTCCCTCTTTTCCCTCCTTCCTTCCTCCTTCCCCTCCCTCTCTTCCTTCTTTTCCTCGCTCTTCCTTCCTTCCTTCCTTCTTCCTTTCCCCCTTCAGGATACCTGCATTAGGTCAAGAGATGAAAATATATATTTTTTATCTCTCGTTTTGGCCCAAGGATGAATGGCTTTTTTAAATGAATTCTTTTTATTTTTATTTTCAATCGGTTTAATTTTATCGATCACCCAGAGCTTAATAAGAGGTTCCCTTGTCGGTTTTTGGTCTATGGGAAGTTTCAGTGTTTACACATTGGACACAACGGAGCGCGCAATTAAAACAGCTGCACATCATGTTCGGGCTGCTTGAAGCGTGTGCTTGCAACCGTGCGCTCCACATAAAAAACTGAATTTCTGAGAAGCACATAAAGGCACACGGATGCTGCTTGAGCATTGCCGGCAGATTCCCTGTGTTGAAGAGGCTCACGACGGGAATTGAAGCACGCAACGGTGGGGTCCTTGACTTACGACCACAATTTGGAAGCCGAAATTCCACTGCTTAAGCAAAGACACTTCTTAAATGGGTCATTAAGTAAATTGTGAGGTTGTTAAGCAAATCCGGCTTCTCCCCCCCATTGATGCTGTTTGTCGGGAGCCAGCTAAGCAAGGTTGCAAATGATGATCACTCAGATTATGTAAATGGAAAATATATAAATGGAAATAATGAATTAATTTTTATTAAGATATTGGAAGGTATTGTTTGAGAAAATCAATAGCTATAATAATTGGGATATTGTTTACATATGTCTAACAACTGTAATAATTTGAACATTTTTTACTTAAGCAAAAAGGAAAATTGAAATAGTATTATTTGAATTAAGAACTAAGTCTAAATGTTAAATTGCTATATTTTTAAGATTAGAGATAAGATTTTAAATTTGATAAATGTACTATGAGTTATTAACCGATTTAAGATTTTAGGTGGGTTAATAGAAGGGTAATTGTTTTGATTAAGTAAACAAGAGTAAACTTTTTTTAAAGATGGTATTAATTGAATAAGTGATTTAAGATTGAGAAATAAATGTTATGGCAAAATGGAATATACAAAATTTTGTTAAAGATGACAAAAAAATTGTATAAATTGATGACCGGATCAAAGCTCTGTTCCAAAAAGATGTAATTGGTATGTTTGGTTAAAAAAAAAAAAAAACTTTTTGCAAAAAAAAAAAGGAAGGTTGCAAATGATGATCACTCGATCCCGGGACATTGCGACTTTCGTAAATACAAGATGATTGTCTGAAGTCATCGGTCCTAAATCACCTTTTTTTCCAAGCCATGGAATGGTCACTAAACGAAATGGTTGTAAGTCGAGGACTACCTGTAAATGCTCCTGCTACCATACCCAGTTAGTGACCTAAATGTGAATCCTTCATTCGAGCTAGGTAGTCCATACAGGTAGTCTTCGGCTTACGATCACAATTGAGCCCAACATTTTTGCTGCTAAATGGAAACATTTGCTAGGTGAATTTTGCTTCACGTTACGAGTTACGACCTTTCTTGCCATCGTCGTTAAAATGAATCACTGCGGTTGTTCAATCTACTTGACACAGTTGTGAGGTGAATCTGGCTTCCCCATTGACTTTGCTTGTCAGAAGGTCTCAAAAGGGGGAGGGAGGGGGGGTTTCAAATGACCCTGTCATAAAGACGAGTCAGTTGCCAAAGTGTCTGAATTTGGATCACATGACTCGGGAGATGCTGCAAAATGATGTGAAAAACGGTCATAAGTCACATTTTTCAGGGCCGTTTTAAACTTCAAGCGGTCACTAAGCGAACCGTTGTTAAGTCGAGGACTACCTGTATTTCATGAGGTCCGTGCAAAATCCGAGGAGTGAGATCAAATTAAAGAGAATATCGAACTGGGCCTGTGGAAGTCCATCTTCACGAAGCCGACGACAGGAATTCAGCGTTTTAAATTCTATTTAAACGAAGCCGTTAATAGAGGGTTGGGGCCACGTTTAATTCCAGCCTCGGTTTCCCCAACTGCCACT